TTTTTTTTTTTTACTGATGCTAAATGAACTGCACAATAAGAATGATCCAGCCATATCTGTAGTCTTATCTGATCATTGAATATGTTCATATGCCCCAGTCTGGCATCCGTCATCATACTTCATTTCTAACTGTGTGCTCTCTCTTAACATGTCTTGTCTCAGTCTGTGTACCGAGGTTCTCCGGTCAGTACTTCTCCTAGTCACAGTTCTCTCAAACACCTCCTCTTGTTACGCATATCTGCATTTGATGATGCGTACCGTATGCAGCGAGCAACTCCATTATTTACTGATCTCTGCTGAAGCTGCTACTGGCTGAAAGAGCTGCAATTATTTTTAGAAAGCTTGTTTTTTCTACAGCATCTCTTATGATGTCCGTGACTGGCTGACCATGAGCACATTGCTTTTTCCTATTCACTCACATGTTCCTCATATACTCGGTGCATTCATATTTGCTTATTCCCTAAGAAGTGAATATGTCTGGCTACTTATTTTTATTCAAGTCGACATGAAGTCAAAATAGACCCTGTTTACTTTCTTAATGCACGTTCCTGGTGTTATTCTGCACGATTCATAGTGCTGGTTTAGACTGGCTTGTTTGCACTGACCTCAGATCTGTGGATAATGTCTGTTACATTAATATTTTCAAATGATTTAGACTTTCTAACATGAGAAATATTTATTTTCCAGATCAAACTAGTCAATATCAATGCCACTGACATTGCTGATGGACGCCCGTCCATCGTATTGGGGCTGATATGGACCATTATCCTCTATTTCCAGGTAATGTTGGCCAATTATGATGGTAGGATCTGGAAAACTGTAATAGGTCTGTGTGTATTTGGGTTGTAAGGATCTGTCCCTGGAACTTTTGCAGATTGAGGAGTTAACCAGTAACCTTGCAGCCCTTCAGGCTTTATCCAGCAGTGCGTCTTCAGTGGACAGCATGGCCAGCTCGGAGACGGGAAGCCCACCTATGAAACGCAAAGGGATGACAAAGTTTCAGGGCAATGCCAAAAAAGCCATGCTCAGATGGGTCCAAAGCACAGCAACCAAGTAAATACGAGCTCTATCGAGGGTAGGGCTGGGCGATATAGCTAAAAAATGTATCAACGATATAATGTTTTATATCATTCGGTATCGATAATTATTGACATTTTTTATAATTTTTTTAAAACAGAGC